GAAGTCGGAGGAGGTAAAGGTACATGGTCCATGTTCATTTGCGTATTTTGCACATTTACATTTTGCACGATGTTTGGCATATTTATTGTCGGCTGATTCATAGGACCATTTACGCTTGGCGATGACAATAATGAAGCAATACTAGGACCACAAGAAGTTGTTGAAGTAACTAAATTTGCCGTTGGTTCAGTTGATAAATTTGATTCTAAGACGGAAGTCGAATTTTGAGATAATATGTCTTGAGTGGACAAATGTGTTGGTTGTACATTCAATTGTTGCAAATGTGTCTGCGAACTCGGCTTCACACTTTGTGATGGATTATATATTGTTGGAGCGATATGAGGTTGTAAGTTGGATTGTAAATTTGATTGTAAAGATAAATCAGGAGATAAAATAGGTGAAGTGGTTGGAGATATATCATCTGGAGTTATGATTATCATATCCAGCGAGGGTTCCTTTGCAGATTTTTTCGTCCTTTCTATCTTTCGCCATCTATTTCTACAATGTAATCCAGGACGTCCAGGAAAAAATTTTGATATTTTTTGCCATTGAGTACCTAATTCTGCGTATTTTTGCATTAATAAAAGATCTTCTTGATCAGTCCATTCCGTGTGATCAATTTCTGGATCAAGACATTCTTTCCAACGCTTCGCACATTGATCATCTGTCCTACCCGGAATAGATTCAGCAACTTTACACCACACTTTTTTATGCTTTTCAACAGCCTTCATCAATAATTCATCCTCCTCTTTAGTCCATGGCCCTTTTCTTAAGTTAGGATCAAGGGAATGAAACCAACGTTTTCTACACATCTTATTTGTTCTATTAGGAACGCACGCCGCAATCTTTGTCCATTTTTCAGATCTATCTCCATAAAGTTGAACTGCCAAGCGTAATAAATTATCCTCCTCGACAGTCCATGCTGTTTTATCTGTCTTTACTTTATACCTTGGTCGAGAAGGACGATTAGCTTGACCAGCCTGAGGAACGGACGGAGGATCAGATATAGGAGGAAGAATAGGAGGTAATTTATTTGCAAGAGTATTACCGGCATCATGGTTTTGTACACCGTCTTGTTGATAAGCATTTATGAAAATGCTTGTCTGCGGAGGAGGAAGAGCGGGACGGTGAACATTAGAAAAATTGTCCTGGGATGAATTACTACCGTTATACTAATAAATAAAAATTAAAGCTACTGAGCCTCTTCGTCATCAGTATTTCTTTAACACAATTCGAAAACTGATAGAATTTACCATCAACTGCGTATCGAGCTTTTTGACTCGGGCTTTACACGGAGAAACAAAAAAAAGGAACGTACGTATATTTTTAATAACTGTATGATTTGTCAGTTATATCATGACGATAAATCTGTGACCGACAATATTCCCTAACTCGGAAGTTCAATGGGCTATCAAATTAGAATACCCCGAATAGAGTGATT